CAGAATGAAAGCAACTTTAGCAGCTAACAAACACTGATTTTATGTATGCACATTTCTACATATACAAGATATATGTAAATATGTATATGCATACGCGAATACATAAAGTTGTAAGTTGTATGAAAATCAATGTCGCGGCATGGGCAAACAGATGGCAATAACCTGCATGCAGGGGTGGCAAATTGTAGTCAGGCAAAAGCGAGGGCTTTTAAAGCAGTGACGGCTGCAGTAAGGGGGCGCACGCAATACTCACACACAACACAGTGTGAAACTCTGAGCTCGCACAAGCGAGGCAAACCGCGCCAATTTGTATGCAATGCAATTTCAAAAGCGTCGCCGCCAAAGCGCTTTGCCGTCAACCAACCCTGTACACAAGCATAGTTCACAACAGCATGGGGGATGGTAGTAAATGCGGCGCTGCTGGCGCTGATGAGTGCAGTGCAATGGCCGTGCCGCCTGTGTAGCTGGAGCTGGTGCTGACTTTACAGCTGCCGCGCCAAATTGTGCTGCCTGCAAAGCGCAATTTATGGAGCGGGTTGTAGTACTGGTGCTGCAATGGAACCCTAGAAMGCTGTGCACCTAACCGATTGACTTCTGTGCCTTTACCGCCTTATAACTCCACTTTGCAACGTCTGAGCTGGGGTTGCGCTTACGTTGCAAGTTAGTTGATTTTTTTTTATATTGCTTTTAAAAATACTTTAACTACGGCAATATATGTACGTGCTGACATATATACATGTGTGTATATATTATATAATATATGTAAGTAAATGTATCAGTACATTGGCGTCGCGTTGTGCGTATTTTGTTTCTGTAAGTGTGTGCGCGCGTGTGCTTTTTTCCAGTATGTGCAGCAAAGTGGCTTGGGGTGGCTAGGTGGCTAGGTAATGAGTCAAAAACACGTAAAGCGTGTATGCGCGCACAACAAAAGCATAATTTATAAGCGTGCGGCCAAAAGTACTTTGTAGCGCATGGTGGGGTGAATGTTGCGCTTTATGAGTGTTAGTGAAAATAAAAAGAAAATAATCAATATTAAAATAGCCAGCTCACAGCTCACATTAGTTTTGCTCACTTCAGCGCGCACTGCGCAATCATTATTTGGCATGTATGTTGGGTGTTTTTTTTTAAATAATTTTAATGTACATAGCGTCATCTAAAATGCAAAACAACGTATCAACAAATCGATCGAAATTGAGTTTTTTATTRCCAACGATGCAAACATCATATTACATATATGTATGTAACATAAAATTTTCAGCTTCAACGGTCAGATATGTATAACCAAAATATAACCCATATATACCCATTATTTAACCAATATATAACCATTTTTATAACCAAAACTCAATTGCTGTTCCAATATGAGTGGTTTCTATTATAAAGTTTTTTGCCTCGCCTGTAAACTTATGAAAACTGATGTTACGTTATTTTGCATTTAAGGTGACGTACATATGTATATGTACATTGTACAATAAACATACTTATGTATGTACATATGTCATTTCTTACTAGTTACACTACTCACCATTTGGTATATTTTGATTGAAATGATTGCCGTTGGTCTGATAGCGTTGCACATGATTGTCGGCGACTCCCCCCGTTGCATTGCCATTGATACCGGTGGGCGTGGCAAAGGCGCCGGGTGGACCTTGTGTGTCGTGTCCAAATTTGGCCGCAAACTGATGTATGCCGGAGAAGGGACCACCGAACGCGGAGAAATTCATCATGACACGTTWACGGTGAGTTTGTGTTAGCGACGAAAAAGGTTAAAAGCGTTCACTACTTTATTTATAAAGAGTTATAACTATTTGAAAATAAAAAAAAAAAAAGGAAAACGATTGGCGCTGGCAAGCTCGTTTGGTGGGTTGCGTAAATTATTGCTTATCCGTTTTGGCTTTCACTTTTCACTTTTTGCATTTCTTCTGTACTGTAATTATACAATTTTGCACATTTTGTTATAACTTGAGTTTTATAATAAATTTTTATTATGATTAAATTTTGTTTTATTTGTTTCTATTATCAATAAGATAATAATATTCTTTTTATAGCTTAGAAAATGTTCGTTTATTGCTCACTTCACACTGCGTTCGAAGAGAAGAAAAAAATCAGGCAATTTACACACAACCTTCACTGCACATCAACATTCTGCTGTCAATTCACACACCAAACCAAGTATAACTGCCTGACAGCGGTGCGGATGTCAGCGACAAGTTGGCTATTTGGCTAGGCTTTGCTGCTGTTGTCGCGCCTCTACTGTTCCTACCGCTGCTTATGCTAGAGGCATATTGAAGTGCTTCAACTTTCGTTTTTCGCGAGCGCACAGTTTGGCGGCGATGATTTAATCACAGCAACACTAACACTACTGCTTAAGCGGCTAAAATGGGCCGCGACTGAAGACACCATACAGACATAAACTCACATGCACATCTCTAATATGTATGTAACTCTGTCACATATGTATAAGCACATATGCAACGTAAGACATATTTACATATGTAGTTATGTACACATACAATATTTAATATACATATATGAGTGTGWATGTGTATAAATTTGTATATTTTTTGTAAATGTATGATTGTGTGTGTGTGTGTGTGTCTTGCTGACAACTCAGAATAGTTAATGCGCGTCCACTATGCGTCCGTCTGTGGCCGCAACGCACGCCCGTCTACCAAGAGCACAGTGTGAGTCAGCTGAACCTGCTGAGGTGTCTCCGCTGCCGYTTAAGGGTGAGATGTTTGCTGTATTACTGCAGCACTTCTATTCTCCACCCCCGTCTATGCAATTATGCAAGTACACACTTACTTGTCTATGCAATCTTACGTACGCCTGGGGGTTGGTGGGTGGCGCTGTTCTTGTAGTCGTGAAGAAAAGAAAAAATAAACAAAACAACAACAAAAGCAGTTTTGTGTGTCTCTGCAGTTTGTAGTTTGTGCGGAAAGAAATTATATTTTTAACTTTCAATTTCTGTGAATGCCGCGCGGTGCTGTTGTGAAATTGGCAACTGAGAAGTTGACACTAAATTGCCAGTGGCTCTGGTTTTGACTATGAGACTCTTTCTCTCTATACACAATGTATGTTTGTCGCTAGCCAAAGAAATCGGCTCCAAACTAATACAACGAACGCCATTTATTGCTGTATTACACGACGCAAAAGAAGTAAAAGCAGAAGGACTAACGGAGACTAGCGACCAAACATGGATGTAGCACAAATCGAGACAACTAAGTAAAAGCTATCGTAAGCAGTAAACTGCTAGCTGACGGAATACAATAGCAAGCATCGTGAAGTCAACAAAAACAATATGTACAATAGCAATAAAAACTGGCGAGTAGTGTTGTCACCTTGGGGGTGGGAATATCGATARCGATGCATTTGTATGTGTGTATGTTATTAAATGTATGCAAGCATGTGTGTATGTGAGCTTGGTATGCCTGCAGGAAAAGGAGTACATGACCTTTTATACCCTGAACAGGGTATATTAAGTTTGTCACGAAGTTTGTATCACCCAGAAGGAAGCGTCGGAGACACAATAAAGTATATATACATAAATGTATGTATCCGTCTGTCTGTATATATACGAACTAGTCTCTCAGTTTTTAAGATATCGTTTTGAAATTTTGCAAACGTCATTTTCTCTTCAAGAAGCTGCTCATTTGTCGGAACTGCCGATAGCGGACCACTATAACATATAGCTGCCATACAAACCGAATGATCGGAATCAGGGGCTTGTATGGAAAACTTTCGCATTTGACGTGGTATCTTCACGAAATTTGACATGGATTACTGCTTAAGGTATTATATAATCTCCGAAAAAAATTGTCAGATCGGATTACTATAGCATATAGCTTCCATACAAACTGAACACATAGTTACTAAAAGAAATGCAACTGTGAAGGGTAGATTAGGTTCGGTGCAGCCGAAGTTAACGTTTTTTCTTGTTTTAAATAAGATCAGAAAATCCGAGTGTGACGGTAAGATATGCCTGTAAGCTGCCTGTAAGAGGCGACAAAAATCCAATATGCACTATGTGGCTTAACTTAAAATTTTAACACAGTCTTGTAAGAAGTAGTGCTTTAATAACCAGCTTGAACTGATATTAAAGATTTTGAACGAGATTCTTTCTAATGAAAAGACATTTGGAGTTCAAGCGACAAATGTCACCAGTMATTGAGTTTGATAGGTAGTAGCAAAAGCTACAAGTCTGGAATGGGGTCTTAAGTCTGGTCCTACGGGAAGCAGTTAGCCCTTGGAGTTCGTTCCAATCTGCTCATGGGGCTTTGCCCTTTGGGGAGATACGTGTTGGCGGTGATTTAAACCTTAAGGCAAGTAGAATTGAAAAATTCAATTTAGTGTGGACTCGCACTGCGGTCGGGTTTTGGACTAACAGTAAGGAGATGTTTTAAATTGGCCCCGAAACCGATCAAGGTGGAAAAGGTGTACTTCAACCCGACCAAATGGAACCAAAAAATAGTGCTAAAAAGCATGTATTGTATGATTTGAGGCTCTGAAGACAATGTGAGCTCTCATCCTTCATATAGTCTTGACTTGACACCGAATGTCTTATTTTTAATCCACGTTCGAAAAAAATAAATTAAGAGCTCAACGTTTTCCACTATCTGAAAAGGCGGTTGATGCGCTCAAAACGCATGTTTTGGAGATACCTCAATCAAAGTGGCAAAAGTACTTCGACAATTTGTTGAAACGCATGCAAAAGTGTATAGATCTTAATGGACAATATTCGTCACAGAAATGCTAAGTTTTAAAAAAGCTGTGATTCTTTAGTATTATTTTTTCTTGTCCGAATTGWAAGCTGTTTTTTAACCTGATGCCAAACTATACTCGCTTATTGTAGTATAATCGTTCCTATGGGGTCTTTTCAACTACCACCCAGTAGACGACAATGGTTTGTTGTTTTCCTGTTTCTAAAGCTTTTTCTGCGATATCGGCGCAGGGGTAGAAACATCGTGTGATGCGGGATAGACAGTGTGAATGGTGGGGTATAGAGTGTGCTTGATTTGCTATGCCTTCACTAATTTATTATGCCCATGGTTCGGCGTTGCTAAAGTGAAAGTAATTAAACGAATAAGTCTTATAACAGCATGASACCAAAAACATACATACATATGTATGTATATGCGAGCGATAAAGCAAAGCTTACTTGGACGCTAAATAATCAAAAGACAAACAGATTTTATTTTACATTGATATTGTTTAAAATGTTCTAAATGTTTCTGGAATGACTAAGAGGTAACCCTTAAAAGGTGCTTAGTTTACAAATTTGAAGTTACATAAACTCATTAGTTAGCTTACAGATCTTTGACGTGACCCATCAAAGTAGCTAGAAATGGCATTYGCCCAAGTTGCTACCCATTTATAACTATAACTATAATCTATAACTTTTTTCAAATTTCTTCGACCACAAGGTCATCGGGAATAAGTCCTTGTATTACATTATAAAGTATTTACTATCAAATCAAGTCAAAATCTGTTTATTTGGTAAGAACATAGTTTCATATTCATTTCGCTACATAACTCTCAAATTCACCCAATTTTCAAACCCACTTCGGAATTGCTTAAAATGAACATATAAAAATTTCTTCTTTTTCTTAATTGGAGTAGGCACCGCTTACGCGATTATAGCCGAGTTAACAACAGCGCGCCAGTCGTTTCTTCTTTTCGCTACGTGGCGCCAATTGGATATTCCAAGCGTAGCCGGGTCCTCATATAAAAATTTAGTTTCCCAAAAAGAACGGAATAAAATGAGTATATTGACATACGAGTACTTACTATATACTGAAGGTTTTTGAATTTGTTTGACAGATATTATGCAATAAAAGTTAAAGCTCATTAAGAAAAAATGTTCCCAACCGTACCGGTACACTTGGTCTACGAACCCTATGTTCATTTTACTGTCAGATTAGTCTCGAGCCGACTGCAGTAACTTTTTGAATCCATAAAGGAACAATAGAGAATTTGTTGTAAATGGTATACATTTTTGGTYTAAAACTTCAGGTGGCGTCGCTATTCTGCTGCTTGCTTTTACTTCCCTTACCRAATGTCGTTGTTTCTATGCACTGTTGTTGCTTTTATTGATGTCTTTTGCTGTTGTTATTTTTCTGTTTTCCATTTCGGGGGTGGAAATCGCATGTGAGGCGCAATCTACATGATAACGTCGGTACGTATGTATGTGCAAGACTAACGGGAAATGTTTCACTTTTCACTTGCTACGCTGTGTGTTGCTGCTGCTGCTATGCGGCAGTGACATGCCAGCATTTTGTGGAATGGGAAAGGGTGCGCTTACTCATRCTTCGCGAAATCGTAATTACACTGGGGTGAGACTCCCATACAAACAATCATATTTGTGTGTGTAATTGCTCGTGTTGTGTGTGTATATATTTAGGGGGTTGGGGTGCCTCGCACCTATTATGTGTACTTCTATTATTACGAGCATAGTGCGGATACTCTTCTAAGTCATATGATTTAGTGAATATGCATGTGTAAGTGTGCTATATGTATGTATGTCTCCATATATTTATAGGGCTGCAGGTACGTATAATGAATGCTCTTAGTGCTTGCGCCGAGTAACCCAGTGAGCTTTACTCGCACACTTACTCACTCACTCACTTGAATTGGTGGTGAGTTAAAGAGTGAGTATGATTGAGTGTTACTCGRTGATAGAATGAGTACATTGAGAGACTGTGTCAAATAGCTGTTATGTGGGGAGAGCAATGGGCAACAATTCTTTTACTGAAATTCCTCTGCTTGCTATTAGAGTGGTGAAAGTTTGAGCGATTTAGTGTGATGGAGAAACGAGCAAAACAAATTTGTTACGTCCACTCTTACTCTGAATGCCAAAGTGTTGCTAGGAAGTGGATAGAGATGTTGTTTTCGTTATATATCTYCACTACAGAAATACAATTCTTAAAGGCTCGGATAAAGGATTTTTTTCGATTACAACAATTTGAAAAAAATGTCGCGAAATTTTCACTGAAATTTTAATTTTTTTTGTAAAAATGTTTAACTAAAACACGTATTTTTTAGATGATCCTGGAATTATCCGAGTTTAAAATATTTTTTTCCAAAAATTTAGAATTTCTTCTTTAATAATGTATGTTTGTAACAAAAACAATTCTAATAAAATATTTAGTTTTCTACATGAGAACAACAATTTTAACCACTTAAGTTCTACTTTCGGGTTGACTATCGTTGTTAAACTATCGTTGATTTTAAACGTTTCAGGTCTGAAGATATTGTTATACGAATGATCGACTGAGGATATTTGATGAGTATGTTTCACTTAGATAAAAATAGTGGCTTTGGCAGATAAATATTTTTAATAGCCATCTCCAAGATGTAGTATTTACGATATTTATGGGTAGATCGTCGTATGTACCGACTTCCGAACGATTTTATTTCTTTGAGGCGTGTTGACAATGGGTATTTATACTGTTTTATTTCACTGAGTGAAGCTATGCACATTGCTCACACAAGTACATATCCGTATTTTGAACTAATAATTTTAATTTCCATATACTTTGAAGTCAATCAAGATTTAAAATAATTAAATTGTTTAATAAATAGTAGTCTAATCTTTAAACCCGAAAGTTTTTATGGAATTAAAACCATTTCAATTCGCATTTGTACTCGGCAATGAATTCGCTAGAGAGCAGTAACAAAAATTGCAGCAGGATGCAGAGAGAGCGAGAGACAGCGCGTATGTGAGTGCGTGAGTATATAATTGCCATTGAAAATGACTACAGTTCTCGTTTKGGATGTAGTAAATTCTAACGGTATATAATAGTATTGGTAGTTATTGTTTTTGTCTTTCCATTTTACACATTTTTCACTTTGAAAGTTAAACTCCGTACTCGTTGGTGTTTTTGTAGTTGTTTGTGACTACATACACATGTGCAGTAGTAAATGTGCGCGTGACCCCATCGTATGTGTGTGGAGGCGCCATAGTATCCTTGTGTTTATGGATTTCTTGCCCCGAGGGTAGCTTTTCACTTTTCAGCACACAGTCATGGAGACAAGTGCACACACGTATACACACACGTGAAATATGAATTTATTGTGCATATAGTAATATACACACTACTCTTAGTATATACATATGTATGTATACTGAGTTCTTGTTTCTTTTCCGTTTTATTTGTTATTTTGCACACCTGCACTGTAATATTAAACTTACTAATGGCAATTTTTTTGTGAATTATTTTAAATTAAAAGCATTTTGTCATGCCTGCAGACMCGCTGACTTATCAAAAACACATTATAAATCACATCAATAGCAATAACCACATATCCGGTTGCTGTTACATCCGCCAATTGTACCGTTACGTCTTCAAATTGTTGTCGTCGAGCGTTGAATGGCAGTTGACGCCATGTTCATGGCGCTTTGTAGTGGCAATGGCAATTTCTTGGAAACGCGTCTCTCGCTCTCGCTCTTTACTTTCGACTTGCGCCTTTATGTGACTTCGTTTTGGGTGGTGGTTGTTTACATGTTATGTTTGGCGAGCAGGTTGTTGTTTTCCGTCAAGCGTTGTCTTTCTCAAATGGTTGTTARGATAGGCGATTGCGCACATGTGCAGAGATAAAATGGTTCAGATATTGAAAATTAAGCTTTTAGCTAGCAAAGTTTTCCACCAAAACAATTTCATATTAAAATTAAAATTTTACGATTTTCGAGAGTACTTCAGCGTTTTAAAGTACTGCATTAGAGTAGTCTAACTGTTCACTTTCCGTTAAAGTAATGTTAAATCTAGTAATTAATGGAAGGAATAAGCAATATAAAATGGCGGTTTCTCAAAAAAAAAAAAAATAAAAGAAAAAAAAAAAAAAAAAAAAAAAAAAAAAAAAAAAAAAAAAAAAAAAAAAAAAAAAAAAAAATGATTTTGACCTAAGTTTCGACTTTAAATTTTTATAAAAAAATATTTATCGATGAAATAATCTTCTATTAATTACTAAAATAATATATTCAAGAACCTCGTGTTAAAATTTGATATTGATATATGTACATTGAGGAGTTACATGGGTTTCCTTGGGGAAAAAAACAGCATTTTAAAATTTTTTTTTCTCATATTAGACATTAAATATTGTATTAGAGTTTTTATTGTTACATACATATATTGACTCTTAACAAAGAAATTCTGAAATTTCTGAAATTTTTGGAAAAAAAAAATTTAACTCGGCCATCGCGACGCCATTTCCGAGGGGTCATGTAAAAAAGATCCGCGTTAGCAGGATAACTCCTTACAGGTTCATCTAAAGTGAAAAAATACGTGTTTTACTTAAAACTTTAACTTACAAACATTGGAAGAAGGAACACATTTTCAGACATTTTTAAAAAAACTTATCTTAAAATTTCATAAATATCGGGGAGTAGTTCTCGAGAAATCTTGTAAACTTACTTCAAAGAAAAACGCGTTTAAAGACGGACTTAGCCTAGCTAGCCACGAGCACACACGTTYTCAAATCTGTATCGCCAAAACTATTACTCGGATCAACTTGAAAACTTGAGGACTACATTCTAGAGGTCTTGTAGAATTTAATAAACAATAAAAAAAAAATTCAATTTTTTTGCAACCCGTAAGAGAATAATATAAAAAAATCGATTTCTTGAAAAAAAACGTCACCCCTTCGAGTTATTTATTATTATTTTTTTTTTGTTGTAGCTACAGTAAACATTCCTGAAGTAATTTCGGGGTATGGTGCCGAGCTGATAGTCCTTGCTTACATAAAAAAATAAATATCCGGGTCCATTGCAGTTACTTAGACCCGACTGTCGTGGAAAAGGGTGTTGTTGTTGTTGTCGTGGCGACAGAATTTTCTGAGGTTGTATATATTTCCTCAATTTTTTATATGAAATGAAAGACACAATCAATTGATACTCTTTGGTATTAACCATATTTTATTTGATACATTTGGTTTTCGCAACATTTTCCTTATTGGTTTTCATAGTATGAGTTGCAGCACTGATTTTAATTTTCTACATCGTTTGTAATCATATTGAGAGCAATTAATTTTTAGACAGAGCTGTCGCCAGCCCTACATTTGGTAAATAAATTATTAAYAAAAAATTAATATAGCTTTATAATAAATATGCAGAAAGCTCAGGATTTTTTATTTTATATAAGAGGATGGGTGCAATCAAATTTAATTTGTTATACCGTAAATCACGATTGGGTTTGACTTAATTTTATGCAAAAATCCAAAATAATATTTTGGGCATTGCGAAAGCCAAAAAATACAAAAATTATAATTTTTTTAAAGGAGCAAGTGGAAATGCGTAACAGTAATTTTGTCTTATACTTAAATTTCATTTTTCAACGGAAGGCAACACAGTTTGCTTGAAGCAGAATTTAAGCTAGGAATTCGAAAAAAGTACGCATTTAATTTAGAAAAATCAAAAAAGCGAGAAAATCCGTCAATTAAATACAAAAAATTTAATAAGGCAATAAAAATAAATTYTAAAGACAAAATATGTTAAATAATTAATTAAAAAAAGGAAATTAGTAAGAACATTTCGGAGTATAGTATAGTATGAATATGTTTTTTTACGATTATATAAGAAGTATGAAAACTTATAACATTTGACAAGACATGTATTTTGTATATCTGTATAATAATACAATTCTTGTATTGCATAGATTTTTGTTTAATTTAGAGCTTATATAACTTATGCATTATACATATTGAAATATGCATATTTATATATACACGTGTATATATAATTATGCCGCGTGAAATTACGTGCAATCCAAGAATACCCGCCACATGAGTAATATTATATTATTACAAGAGCTTTGCATTCCCAATAACCCAATTTCTTTTTTTCTTCTCTACTATTGCTATATTATACATAAATATATATTATTATATTGTGAGTACGAGTATTCATGTATCATTTATGTATGTATGCATGTCTTATATACTTTGTAAGTTTTCAAGCAACCTTCGAAGAATAAAATAAAAAAATACATTATACTACAATATTTGTTCGCAATAAAAATTGCCATTTGAGAATTAATTATTTCGCTAATATTTTTTGTGCCGTTTTCTACAAGTGCATTTTATACGCTCCAGCACGCTCATACACACAGTTGTGAAAAATATACCAATTAAAAAATTTGCTTAAGCAAGTAAAACAAAAAAAAAAAGCACTTACAATATATATTGGAAAAAATCACAATATGCAAGCATTAAATTATGTGAAAACACATCAACTGCAATTTTATGCCTAACTTATTAAATAAAAAAAAATTACATTCATATTTTTTTTTACATTACACATTTTATATATGTATAGAAAATTCGAAATTCAAAAATATTGTATTCAACAGTTTCGCATTTCATCTTACATAAAAATTACATTTTTTGATTATCCATAAATTAATAAAAAAATTAACACACTTTTGGTGTAAATATTGTAACAAAAAATAAATACGTATGCTTAAATGAATATATCACGATTTACTATAGCATAAACTTAATTTTAATGGCGATGTTGCATGAAATGATATAGTTTCGCTTTGACAATACGACACTAGATGTATGTATGTCTTTGATAACACATTTGCGTACTACAGATAACTTTTAATGGGGAAAACCATAAGGATAATAAAAGAAAAATTATATAATTAAAAGGAGCGTAAAAATATGCGCTTACAAGAAAAAGTTCTAAGGCAGACTTGAAAAAATAAATAAATTATGCATTGCAACTTCTTTAAGCATTGCGCACAAAAAAAAAAAAAATAAAAATAAATTAAATTATATGCCTGTGAAAAATTGCATGCAAGCGCATTTTTTTGATATGCGCATTTAGCGCAGATTGAAGAGATAATATCAAAAAAGTKGCATATTTCTTGTGTATCCAGTACATTCTAAGCAAACTGCTTTAATAGTTTCCTAATAGCTAAATGAGTGCGGATAAATATTTCAATAAAACGAAGAAAATATCATAAGTTAGCACTTTGAAATAAATAGCAGCATATGCAAAAGCGGTTAGCACATTATTTTAAAATTTTCACTTGTTAATTCATCACAATTTCATATTAATCCACTTCTAAACTCATTCTTTTCTTAACTATCTTYACTTGTCCGTTTCGCTTGTGTGATTATGTGTTTGTTTTTGTATGCATGCAAATATGTAGTTCATATAGTTATTAAGTTTGAGTTAAGTTTTGAGAGTACGAAAGCTTTTATAATGCTTAATAATTATTTACTGACACCTTTTAACCTCATTCAGCTGCAAATTTGAAAAAAAAATACTGCTCTATTTGTTCGTCTCCACATTGCAGATTGTCTGCTCGAAACTTATAACGATCATTTTGTTTTAAAGCTCTCACAAAGGATAGCCCATAGCTGCGGAGAGTAGCGGTTCCCACGCACGATTTATATCCATGTAAAGCGTTGTGCATTGCTCAGCTATTAAATCATCCTCGTCCAACACCGTTATTGGAAATAAATCATTCTAAAACCATATTAAATAATTTATACGTTTTTGAAAGACTTTTTGTTTTCATTACACTCACATGCTTTGCCTGCCACAACTGCTCGAGCAGTCGTAAGAAACGTTGCATTTCCGAGCTGCTCGCAAAGAAGATCACCAAATCATCGGTGCTGTCGCGCACTTCYTGGCAAGAGAACTCCAGCACACACCACCATGTATCGTTATGCGATGGTATTTTAATGCCCGTCATTTCTTTTATATCCGCACAGGTGAGTATCTCTAGACCAGAATCCTTCCCGTACACACTATACATATTGGAGTAACGAGTTTCCKTTTGCTTAGCACATTCGGTCGGTATTTGTCGTGAATAATTAGTTGTTGTGGCTAATGATGTTGCGTTCGTGGTGGTGGCGTTTGTAGAAGTTGAATGTGTGGTATGGTCACCGCATGTAGTTGTAGAATGTGATAATTGGGAAAGTTTAGTGGGTGTTGAATTCACCGATGAGCAAGATCTTGGTGCAAAACGGGTTGGTGTACTCATTGCTGAGCTTAGCTATGAGAAATATAAAGTAAAGTAAAACTTTATTAAGTTTAACATATTAATTATGACTAAAATATATAACTAATTTTTTTCTTCAAATACAACTTGGACTTTATATAAGAAAAACGCTCAAGATCTAATAGTACCCGGACAGGCCCATATAAACTGGACGTGCAAACTGAATTGACTTTTTCCCAAAATTGTTAAAACTTTTTTTTATAATGTTCGTGTGAATTTTGATCTTCATATTTCAAAAGTGATCAGTCCGGGTCAATTTTGATCTTGAGTGTAACTCTGTAGGCTACTTAATATGAGAGTAATACTCAAATTTCCTTACCAGGCTGCCTGTTTCGCCT